CTGATCATATTTTCAAATTCCTTGGTGTTTATTGATACTCTCTTTGAACCCATAATAAATACAGACATTACAGACAGTTTCAGTGAATAATGTTATGAATTCCATTTATTGGAATTCATGACAGCGATAAATAAAAAATTCTTAACTTGCTAAGAAATTTATCACAACTCACAGTTTTCTAATTTAAACAAAAAGTCAAATAGTGAGCTGCTTCTCCATCAGCCCCTCCTTTACAGCCTCACTTCACCTGCTTTTCTCATTTAGTGAACAAAATATTTTCGCAGTGTGAGCTGAGACATTAATTTTCTCTCTGCGTTTGTACGCGTCCTCTCTGGCAGTGCGCCTCTCAGAATTGCTGTCTCACTGAGGAGAAGCCCAACAAATCTACTGTCACGAGTTCAGCTTTAAGACTCCACTTGTCAAGAGTTTTCAAAGTCTTGCCAGACTTTCTCAAAGGGATTTGGGCACAAGTAGGAAAGCTTGTTGAAATAAATCAGTAAATCAATAAATAATCACGCAATAAATTAAAACGAGCTCCATAAACTCTGTTTGAATGATTTATTCGTTTTTCTCTTTTCTCTCTCTACGAAAAACTAGATGAGAAAAGTCTTTATTCTGGTTCTTTGGTCTCTTTTATTTGAAGGACAGTTTTGTTTACAGAGACTTCATGATTCATTTTATTTGTTGTTTCTGTTGTTTTGGTTATTTATTTTGGATATTTAAAATGTCTTCCAGTTCCAGCGTTAGATGTTCATTAGAATTTAAAGTTTATTGATTTTTGAGAAAATGTTTTTCTACATTATTATCCTATTACCATTACATTACCAAAAATGGTCTGAAAATGACAATATTATTGTTTATCACAATAACCTACGGGACAATTTATGGTCCAGCCAGTTGTCATTGTGTCAGGCCTGTTGGCTGATGGCTTATGAGGACTGGAGTTGGACACTAGTAGCTGGTGTCATGAGGTGGGAGAACTTCCTGGTTTGACTTTCGTAAGTGAAATGGAGATGACTGAACTGAGCTACATAAACTGTCTTTACTCAAAAGGAGGCAGAAGTTCACATTTTTTAAAATAAAATGGCATGTCTGCCTCTCCTGTCGTATCCTGTGTCCCTGTATTTAGATTTGGTCTTTGACTAGGCCACTTCAGCACCTGGACATGCTTTGATCTGATTTTCTCATCAGTTTTCTGTTGCTCTAAACACATTACTGCAGCACCTACAGTATGAAAATAAACTTTAACTGTAACTCGATGTGAGCCGGTCCAGGAACACGCTCCTGCCGGCTCGCAGGATGTTTGACAGTTTCCGCGCTGCTTTGTGATTTAATTACCAGAGTGTTTATGTGGGTTGCTGTTGTGTAGGAGGTAAAGTTGTCAAATTGAAGCGCCTGGCACAGCCAATGTTCTTTTATTCATTTTCCCTGCTCAATAGATCAGCCGTGAGCTGCAGGAGGTTCTCACATCAGCCTTCTGCAAACCAGCAGGCTGCCACAGACGCCGCGTGCTCCTTTCACATAAAAAAATGATTCTGACTGCTGATTAAATGCTTGTTGCTCTGGCACATGTTTTTGCGGTACAGCTTACAGAGCCACCTTGACAACTGTTTGCCAACAAAAGCTCTTGGTGCCTCCAAAAACAGAGAAATAAAGACAAACTCAAACTGCATCCATAGTCTAAGTCCGCTTGTCATTGGGCTACAGGTGGGAGACTCCCTGGACACGTCACCATGGCAACACAGAGACACACACACACACGCACATGCATACCTAAGGGACCTTTAGACTAACCAAGTGATGGAGTTAACTTATGTTAGTGTTTGAAAAACTTTGCTAATAGGATTCCCACATGTGGAGTTCTCGTTGGGCCTTCCTGGTCTTCTGATGGAAAGAACTCACCCAAAACCCAGCAGCAGAGAGAAAGACGGCCGCACGTCATTGGCTGCTTTTCAGTTACAAACGTGCAAAACTTTGTTGATATTTCGCTAATGTAAAAAAAAAAAAAAAAAAAAACAAACAAAAAAACATGCTAATGTAAAAAAAACAAATAAAAAAAACAGAATTTTGCAATTGTGGTGTTGAACTGGTTGCTGATCATGTGACTTATGATGTGAAAGAAGTGTTTCCATTGCAGTTTTGTGAAAAAACAAAAAGAAAAAACAACAATTTCTCTATGGCCAAAAACCCATCTCATCCTAGCGCCAAAACTTTTTATTGAAAAATACATCACTTGTTTTTTTTTTTCCGAAATTGCCATGTTTCCATTAAGCAAATTTATTTTCGAAATGTGAATTTACATATTTGTATAGTCAGTGGAGACGCAGCTGGTCCCATCCACCACCAGCAGCAGCAGCAGCAGCTCCTCATTCTGCACCAGAGACGACCTGTTTGCAAGCGAACCCTGTGCAGACCTAACAGTCTTTAACTTCTCCTCAACATTTTCTCTCGGTCTCAGAATCAGGCTGTCTTTTTGTATCTGTGCAGCCAGAGACGGGAAGCGGCTCCCTCTGCGGGGGTTACTGTCAGCGCCGGGGACTGTTCACTGTCACAACGAGCTGACAGATTCACACTGTGCCTGATTTCTCCTGAACTTTACCTGCTGTGAAGCAAAACACCGAGTGACTTTCGATTCCAAGACAGAATAACCTCGTGTTTGTCACACTTAAGATTGGTAACCTCACACACACTTGTCAGACTAGAGCTCTGCGTCCGTCCACTGCGTCCTGCTGATGGGACTTGAGGTTTTGAAGGTAACTGGTCTAGCAGAGGAAGCTGACGTTTTTCTGTTCCAAGCAGGTTTTAGCCCAACTCGTTATTCACCACAACACAAGTGATTCCCTCCTCACTGCTGACGGCAGTCTCTCTGGCTTCGTCCTGGACACACACTTAGGGCGCGTTCACACCAGCCCTGTTTAGTCCACTTTAACTGAACTCTAGTTTCAGTTAATTGTAGATTGAATATACCATATTAACTTGTATCTCAGAAATGGTTTTGCTTCAGCAAATTATGACATTTTTTTCTGGAACACTGATAAAAAGCTTATGGTTACGTTTCACAACAATGATTCAATTTTCGGCACTAAATCTTATAAAGAATACCATAATTACATAACCGGTGAATTCTTGTTCACCAACCAAATGAAAACTAATTGTTGGTGCTTTGTCTGTCCTGCGGTCTGACTGCGATGCTCAGGAGGAACACGGCAGATGAGGAGATAGTCCCATCAGACCATCAGTTCCTGAAACCACACACACACACACACACACACACACACACACACACACACACACACACACACACACACACACAAAACTCGGTGCGATCCTGCTGGACCACGCACAAAATAAAAAGCTTGTTGGGTCCAAATGACTCCATCTTTGAGAACACTGGAGGGTTAAAGAGGAGCAGTTTAAACTTTCCTGCTTATTCAACACTTTTCTATTAGAACGCCGGTTACTCTCCTTATTAAAAAAAATAAAAATAAATTAAATGTTTAGGTTTTACTTTAAATTGAAACACCAAAGTTAAATCAGCAGCTCTGCAGTGTTCAATGCAAACTCCATCATGTTACAGAACGTCTCCACCACATGGAGTGAGACATATTTATTATGTTCTTCCACTGATGCTTTGGATCTTTATTTTAAAAATTATTTTTCTGACCTTCACAGAGCTTCAATGTTCTCTGTTCTATGTCCAGAATATGGGAATACGACCAGGATGTTTCCGAAATGAGTTTTAATAAGAACAAGAAACAAATGTGTGACATATTACATAATAACGTCACACAGTGTGTATTTTAATATAAGGTGCTATTAAAAATCGGCCTGTGCTTCTAGCACCTCTACATCTGCTGTGACGATGGGGGTTACCGCCGCCTACATCTAACCCGTGTGTTGCTCTAACACCGACTGATGTGTTAATATACAGCTGGCTGCTGTGGTAACTGTAGCATCAGTAGGCTGCTTTATGTAACCTGCTCTCAGGTGATACTTGGTGGACAACAGTTAGAGATTCTCAGGTATTCTGCAGACAGTGGAAGAGCTTCTCTTCTGTCATCATGACTGGGATCTGCACCGCCTCTGTTCTGTTGTTTCTTCGGCACAAACACATTCATGTCTTTAGAGACGGTGTGTTTATTTTTTATTTTCTACCTGGAGTAAGGCCTGGTTCTGGTTCTTGGAGTCAAGATAAACCACGGTCGTGACATTTTCCTCCACCTTGTCGGTCGCTGTATTTCAGATTAAAGTACTTCAGTCCCAGGAGAAACAGCGTTCGGCTTCTATGCTCCTGTGATCTGGAACAAACGTCCAGAAAACTTCAAAACAGCCGAAACACCGAGTTCCTTCAGAAGGAAACCCACCTGTTCGGAGCTGCCTCTGATTGGTGGAACGTTGATCAACAGATGTTTGCTTGATGATTTTGATGAAGGCATTTGACAAAATATCATGTTTATTGCTTGTTGTCATAAGTGGTCACTTTGACGTGTCTTGTTGCTTTAATGTGCTGTATGCATAAAATTGACTTAACTTAATTTGTTGCCAGAGAAGGTGAGCAGTATTTTCTGGATATTGGAGGGATGGCACAGCGGCCCCTCTCCCACATGTTGCTGCACACAGCTGGTTAGCTGACAGAATCATGCTAGCTTCTCTTCTTTTGAATGATAAATTAAGCTAATATGTAAGGAGGTGCATTTCTTTAGTTATGTTTAGGCCCATATTTTACAATCAACCATAACAATTTGCATGTTTATCTGTATTAATACTGCTGTGTGTCAGTGGCAGCAGGAGTAATAGTTGGTTTTCTGTTTGAAATTAAATCAGATCATATTCATTTAAGCTTGTTCATATAAACTTTAATTTTTTCTGAAAATCAGACAGAAATCTGCTGCCACGGTGTTTACTTCCCCTTTTGAGCCTTTCTTTTGATTTGTTGCTCTGGATTTAAGAAGAAAAGAAAATCTGACTCTGTGTTGCTTGGTGTCCTTGTGTCTCCCCAGGACCCGTCGGTGCAGAAGGTGGGCGGAGGCAGGAAGAAGACGGTGTCCTTCAGCAGCATGCCCTCTGAGAAGAAGGTAGCTTAAAGTCGACCCCTGCGGTCAGCGCTTATCACGAACATGAATGTCACATTCATGTTTGGCTCTTATTATTTGAACCTTTCTTTTTCTAAGGCAGAATTATTCTACAACGAAAGCCTCAGTCATTTTGGAAAACAAGATTTGGGTAAAAATTTGGATTAATTATAGATTTTTTTTGTCGTACGTTCATAAAAACTCTCCAACATGTGCACACGTCCACACTGACGTGTGCATCAATAAAGTGGAGTTAAGTTGGATCTTTGTGACACATTTTTTCCAGTTTCTGTTTCAGTTCTGGCTCCATATTTGAGCACTCTTCTGTTCAGAACTGATTGTTAGCATGTTAGCTTTAGCAGTGTTGATTTGTGTTTATGGAACAAGTCCAAATTCTTGACTTCTTGAAGTTAAACTGTCTTTACTGTGGATGGAGTCGCTGGCGTTCCCAGCCTCGGTGGTCCCGGAGGTTTTCCTGAACATCCTGACCGCTTTTCTTTCCACAAACAGTGACTTGAACCCTCCAGGCTGCCATACAGGCCTGCTGTCAGACAGGTCTGTGTTATTCTGCTAAGGCGTTGCAAATGCAAATGAATTATTTAAAAATCATAGAGTGTGATTTTCTGGATTTTTAAAATAAATTCTCTCTCACAGTTGAGGTGTACATTACAGACCTCTACAGTCTTTGTACACGAGGGAACTTAAAAAATGGACAGTGTATCAAATATTAATTTTTCCCACCGCGTGTGTGCCAAAACTTATTTTTGAAATTTACGTCCACAGTGTGTTTGCTACGAAAAGTCGGGCCACAATTGAAATGATTCCAATTTATTTGGGGCCGCGACTCGCAGTGCTGTCCATCTGGGCATTCACAGAAATGAGACGTAAGGGAAATTAAATAACAGAAATTATTAAAGACTTAAATATGGGCTGTATGGGTGGAAATAAATTCAATGCAGCAAGAAGTAAAATTAAATGTAAAAAACGTAAAAAGATGAAAGATAACAGCCTCCTGATGTGACAAAACAATCCCTTATAAGCTTATTTTAATGGATTACCTGCATCAGCTCATATTCCAGGGAGCAGAAGAAGTCTCTGACTAAAGTCACTGTTTATTTCACATGCAGACGGTGTGTGGTGTTGTTCATTATGTGGGGCAACCTTTGAAACGGTCTGCAGAGATGTCCCAAACTCATGTCGTTGGCTTGTGGAAGTTTTTGGAGTCAGAAAATAACACTTTGCCACTCAATATTCAGAAGAAATGCAACAATGTGGAGTAAATATTGAAAGGCTGCAGCTTCTTCAAGAAACAATGAAAAAAAATGTATCTTACTTACAGTCCACTCTCAGTCCAACAGTTGTAATGTTGTTAAAGGCTGAATGGAGGAACGTTGTCATGACAAGCTGAAGACAAAGTGTCGGAAAGAGCAGGAGCTTCTTAAAGAGACAGAGGCGTCATGTTTGATATTTACAATGTTTTTATAGCAACTGAAGAAAACATGATTGTGCTGTAAAATGGCACTATGTTCCTGGAAAATACTACCGCCCCTTTAAAAAACAGTGCTTGACAACTGAGGAGGAAATGGTGTTTTTGGATTCAGAAGAAAAGATCAGCTGTGAGCGATGGTCAATGTGTCCCTTTGACCGCCTTATCGACTGGGGATGGACAAACATTAGAAGCAGCTAGCCTGTGTTGTTCCACTGCTAATCTGGTGTTTAGTTGAAGCTGCAGGCGCTGCGTTTTCACTGTATGAGTCCAAAGGTGGACTCAGTGTTTTATTGGTTGTTGGTCTCCACACGCCCGCCTCCAACTCCTGACAAAAGCGGTTCTTTCTTCCAACCCAGCTCAGAGTTGGGCCTGAGAAGGAAGCGGTTTATCAGACTTGGTACAGAGACTAAGCTAGCATTAGCGCCAGTTTAACACTAGAACCAGTTTCATGAACGAGAGGCTCCTGAGTCATTGAAACATTGGCAAAGAAACTGTTTCTGCGTTATGTTTTGTCCAGGTTGAGGTTGAAGGGATTGTCGTCCCTCTGTGACCTTGGGGTTCATTAACTCCCTGTACAGACCGCTGGAGACTCACCAGAGCCCAGTGGGTTTTGGGTACATCTATAGGATCCTTAGCTGTTCTGTAGGGTGCTGTCCTACGACAATGAGGAGAAACTTTAGAAAGATTACCTCCAGACCAATGTCTTTCATGCTACTAAACATTTTCTGAGGCTTTCCACTAGGAAGTACAGACAGACTCATGTTGAACACAATACTGAAAGAATCTAAGGTCAACCAGGTCCTCTTAGTACTGACTGCTTTCCTTTAATACAGCGGGGGAATGAATGTTTGATCTCCTACTCAGTTTTGTAAGTTAAAGTTTTAAGGGAAGTCTGATTAAAAGTGGAATATTATCCACAGACACTGAAAATGTACAAACTGATTTAGGAGCGAGTATCCGATCGCCAGCTATTTGGCTGTTTCTCTGTGTGGTTCACAAATTACAATTATCTGTCAATCAGTTAATTTATGGATACTCCTGATCTCGGCTCCTAGCGGCTGCATATCTGCACAAGGTTAGAATGGGCCACAAGCAACTCTGTGAAAAGGCGATAACAGTTGGTGTCATTATTTGGCTAATGGTGAAAATCTAAAAATGACCTTCAATCACTCTCTGTCTGGAGCTCTACACACCTCACAAGGAGAGGTTGATCACAAGAGAGATGAGAGGTCAGTGCAAAACCTATGAGTGGCAGCTGAGAGCAGTCTTCAATGACGGCATTAGTAACAGGACCCAGTAACAGACTGAACGGCCTGTGAGGTTTCTGGGGCTGTCTTAGGTTTGGTTAGTCAACATCTAAAGGATTCTGGGAAGGTTTGGGAGAGAGATCTGTGATCAAATGAGCCCAAAATCAAGCCTATGAGATCAACATGTTCAGATCTTGAAAAATATGATCTTCAAGTCATTGTGCACGACTTGAAGAAGAGCTACAAACATGATGATTTGGGGATGCCTGATCATTTTGCTGGGCCATGTACTGTAAGATGTTTCCAAAATATCCCTTTAAGTGTTCAAACCTTTGGGTTCAAGTGAAGCCCATCACACATGTTAGTTTAGAACATTCACAAGATGAAGGTCATTCTTTCTGGCAGAAGAGCAAGCTACCCGCAGGTTTTCCTAGAAGTGATTTTTAAAATGCTGAACGTGTTTCTTTTGAGCTCAGAGAATCCACATTGGAAGGAGTTTTGGAAACAATTTGGTGTTTCTCTTCCACAAACGTGTTTCCACTTTGACCCTTAGTCCAAGATTTGCCTGATCTCTTGTTGCAGGTGAGCAGTGCAGCGGACTGCTTGGCTTTCATGCAAGGTGGGTGTGAGCTGAAGAAGATCCGACCCAATTCAAGGGTCTACTGTCGCTTCTACACCTTGGACACGGACCTGAGCTGCCTGCGCTGGGAGCCGTCCAAAAAGGACTCGGAGCGGGCCAGACTGGACGTGTCCAGCATCAAGGAGGTCCGCACTGGGAAAAGCACAGAGACGTTTCTTCATAACGGTCCTCTGTCTGAACACCTGGCCGAGGAAGCCGCATTCTCCATCATTCATGGTGACGAGTACCAGGTAACAGCCCCACCTTTATTCTGGAAAAGGGAATTCTGAAAAGTCATCACCAGTTTTTTTTTTTTTTGTTGTTTTTTAAAATACATCCCACATTTTTTCCCCACCGTTCTGCAGTCTCTAGATTTGGTGGCGTTGTCAGCTGACGTGGCCAACATCTGGGTGACGGGCTTGCGTTACCTTCTCGCCCACCCTTCGATCATCGGCGGGGCTGGAGGAGGGTGTGGGGTAGTGGGAGGAGGGCAGGGCGATGGAGGCGTGGCGGTAGAAGGCAGCCTGGGAAGCAAGATGAGGAGCGAGTGGCTGGCAGCAGAGTTCGCGCTGGTTGATGAGGATGGCTACGGGATCGTATCAGAGGATGTGGCTGTCACCACAGTCTGCAAGCTGTGCCCTGGCATCAAGGAGGCAAAGGTAAACTAAATATTGTTGCAACTCATATTGATTCAAAATTTATCAGTCTTGTAGATGGAACTACGTCTACAAGAGGAGATCGTAGCAGTCTGTGTTGCAGCAAATCTGAAGAAGCTTCTGACTGAAGATACTGTTTTTCTAAGGCAGTAGCTACTTTTCCATTGACCAAAAAAACTGCGCAAATTGGAATTCTGAAAATAAATTTGCTTACTGGAAACATGCCGATTTTGCAAAAACAAATTTTTTAGACGTTTTGGGTTGCTTTACAGCTGTATCAAAATTAGCATGCGCTGCAAAACTGCAATGGAAAATTTTTTACGCATCAGTCGAGGAACCAGCTCTTACTGCTGAAAGAGAAGACGGAGAAGACGACAGGAAGTGGTGGAAGGATGAAGGCGTAGCTTGTTTTTTATTGATTTATCTCATGAACAAACTTAATCACATGTGATTTTACTTTAATTGTGCTTCTTTTTTAATGGAAACACCACATTTGTGACAGTTTTTTTTTTTCAACATTAGTGGAACCGCAACACAATTTTGCATACATTTGTAACAAAAACGCAGCTGGCATCATGAAGAGGATGTTCACGATTGTCCATAGTTTTGTTGATTTTATGTAAAATCCTTCTTTGCATCATCATCTCCAGAGGTTCCACAGTCATCCCTAGAACAGAACCAGAACAGAACCAGCCGTTAGCTTGTTGAGCCTTTTGGTCTCTGGCCCTGGTGGCTCTGGTGCTGCTGCCCCAACAGATGACAAATGAAGAGACGAAACAATAAACTGATAAACTGATAGACGATCTGCTGCATCTTGTTTCACTGAAATAAAGATAGAAAGTTGGCTGAAGCCACATTTATTCCTTTTTGTGAATTAGCTTACTAAGTGTTGGGTCAGTGGTTACCTAAATGAGTTTTCTGTGACTCGGACTGACCGGATGGTACCTGATCATGCTCTCTGTGCTTTCCTCAGGTCCGCCTCCGATTTAAGGAGATCCAGCGGAGCAAGGAGAAGCTCACCTCCCACGTGACGCGGGAGGAGTTCCAGGAGGCCTTCTGTGAGCTCTGCACCCGACCCGACGTTTACTTCCTGCTGGTTCAGCTGTCCCAGGACCGCGAGTGCCTGGACCCTCAGGACCTCCGCCTCTTCCTGGAGACGGAGCAGGGCTTGTCCCTGGCTACGACCGAGGGCTGCTGGGAGCTGCTGAAGCGCTACGAGCCGTCGGCGCAGGGCCGGGAGCGCGGCCTGCTGGGCCTGGATGGGTTCGCCCGCTACCTGCAGTCGCCCGAGTGTCAGCTGCTGGACCCCGAACACCTGGGGGTCTGCCAGGACATGAACCTGCCCCTGGCCCACTACTACATCAGGTTTGACGGCTCACTTTGCTAGAAGAGCAGAAAAAGAAAAATATCTAGATTCTATAGAGAGCTGCATTTGCTAGTCCAGGCTAGGATTGTCACAATAACAAATTTTGTTTCCCCAAAAGTTATTGCGATAAACAATAATATTGTTTTCAGGTAATATGACGTTAGCGACATAATAATGCATGAGCACATTCTCAAAGATCAATAAGATTTAAATTCTAGTGAATATTTAACACCGAAACTGGAAGACATTTTAAATATCCAAAATAAATAAACAAAACAGAAACTATAAATAAAATGAGTTATGAAATTTCTGCAAACAAAATTGTCCTTCAGAAAGTAGAGCTAGTTGAGACCAAAACACCAGACTGAAAACTTTTCATATCCAGTTTTCAGTAGAAAGAGAGAAAATAGGAAAAAAAAAACCCTCCTCCAGCCTCCTCTTGGCTGCTGCGCTGACTGATCCTGTCTCTGCTCAGCCTGTTTGTGTTTGTGACAAAATGTAAAAAAAGCTTAAGGGGTTTGCATATTTTCACAAGGTCCTGTACACGATACAAAACTATGGAAGGAAAACAAAATGCTCTCCAGCTGTGTCTGTGCAACACGGCTTACTAATTATAAATAAGTCCACAGTTTCTGTGTAATCGCAGGTGTTACTGCAGTTCAAACACCAATCAATCCTAACACCACAGCTGGATTAGTGGCTGGTTATGTACGCATGTTTAGGTTTTCTGTTTCTGGCATGCGTAGGGGATTGTTTTCACTTTTTAGAGCCTCTCACGGTGATCCCGCATGAGCACCAACAAATCCCGTTACACTTGTACGGGGGTTAGCTGACTGATGAAATGTTTTTTTTTGTTTTTGTTTTTTGTAGATAAACATATTTCCCATAAGCACATATTGTTCTGCACTGTTGCAAAGTCTCCACACATGACTCTGCACTGGGTTCATTCAGTGGCTGCTTTCTGCGTATCTGCCAGATGGTTCTGCTTACTCACGGCTGTGTGAGAGCCAGCACTAAATCCAACATTTGAAACCAATACGCACATTAAGTTGCAGTTATTGTGCCAGTTTTACGTTACACGCTATGTTAGGTCATCTGAAGCCGCGTCTTACTCAGTGAAGCACTCTTGCGAAAGCCAGAACTTTACAGCTTACAGTCAGGTAAAGAAATGGGAAATATTTTCCCTCTTCCTCCAAAAAGGGCTCATGAAACTACTCCTCAGATCGACTTGTTGTTTTTATAGGACATCGTGCAGGAAGAACACTTGGAGGAGCAGGTGCTCTGTGGCCGGATTAATCTTCAAAATGCCTAAAACACGTGCAGTCGCTCTCTCATGGTGGCTTATTCCACCACCACAGTGCCACAAATAACGACAGGAATCAGTGTGGGGGGTGGATAATAAGCTGATGTTCCTCTGAGGAACAAAAGGATTCAAGCCAGACCGACTGGGTTCAGAGAGTTCAAGGTTTGAGGAGCCAGAGGACTTGGAACTTGACCTGTTGAGGTCAGGGAGTAGTGGAGTGACTTCTGCTAAATAAAACTCAAGACGCACTGCAGCCTCGTCTGGCCGTTACCTTCCTGTGCAGTTCCTATAGAAGAAAATCTCACTTTCTGGATTTCACTTTGATTCCCTCTGGTAGATTTTTTTTTACAGGCCAATCAGCAAACAGAAGGAGAATTTCTGAATGATGACGTCGATATTCTGAGCTGTTTCAGAATTGTAGTTTCATCAATGCCAACAGAGGAAGTGAAGAAAGCCGTTCAGTCCGTGTTGGTCACACTTCCAGACGATTAAATTAACGTTAGCAGCCGCCTGGTTCACATCTGCACTTTTCTCTGCACAGTGGAGGATGGTTGTTTATTTCCGGTAAGCTTCATAGGGTCATACTGGTGCATTACATACATGTCAGGCAAACGTTAGTGATTGGGTAAAATTGGAAACTTCAACACAGTCCAAGCGATTGTTTCTCAATAGCAGAGAGTTCAGACCCGTCTGGACGAAGCAAAAAGCTAATTGGATGATTTTTTTTCCCCCTGTACATCATAACAAAACACTGTAGTAACCAGCAGAAAGAACTATGATCTGTACTGAAAACTCACAGTGTCTTTCAAAACTATATATTCTCAACACATGGTTTCGTAAAAATCTTCAGAAGTCAATGATTGAAATATCTGTACACACGGATTCATTCCTCTTTATCCTCAAACCTATAAATACAATTCACTGCAACTAATTCTCCATATAATGACTGACCCGTCCCCGTGTGTTTTCTGACTCGTTGTTGCACGTTTTCTGTGTGTGTGTGTTTTCTGAGCCGTCCCTGTGTGTGTCCCCCGCAGTACTTCGTACCGCTCCTACCTGCTGGATGACCAGGTCCACGGCAGAGCCGACCTCGGCGGCCTCATCAAGGCCCTGCAGTCCGGCTGCCGGTGCCTGGAGCTGGGTGTGACCGACGGCCCCGAGGGCGAGCCTCTGCTCGGGGTCGACTATGGGCCTGACATCTCTCGCCACCATCACCACCACCACCACCACTCACCCGTTACCATCCGCTCTGCACTGGAGGTGGTCAATAAATACGCCTTCCTGACTTCCCAGTACCCTTTGCTGCTGTACCTGTGTCACCGGTGCTCCCCGGGTCAGCAGCGCACCATGGCCCACCACCTGAAGAAGGTGTTCGGGTCCCGACTTTACACCCCCGATGCCCAGCATGTGAGTCTGGGGGGGCGTGCCACCACTCTGCCCTCCCCCGAGCAGCTGAAGGGGAGGATCCTCCTGGTGGGGAAGAAGCTCCCTCCAGAGGAGGAGGGATCTGACGGGGAGGTGTCTGAGGAGGACGAGGAGATTGGAGGGGGCGGGCCCCTGGCAGGAAGAAGGATGACCATCCCTGGGGAGGAGGAACTGGGCGTGGTCTTGGTGGTCCCGCCTCCTTCCCAGCCCAGGAAGCTCAGCCTCCACAGGGAGCTGTCGGACCTGGTGGCTATTGCCCGGACCAGCAGCCGCAGCTTCTACGCCCAGAGGGGAAGCTACAAGCAGACTCAGCAGCAGTCGCCCCCCAGCAGCCCTTCGTCCCCCGGCTCGCCCGTCCCCCCGGAGCTGCCTTACTGGACGATGTGCTCCCTGGGAGAGGGAGAGGCCGGGCGGCTAACCAGTGAGAGCCCGGAGGACCTGGTGGTGTTCACCAAGCGTACCCTGACCAGGGTACGGCCCAGCTCAGTTCGCCTGGACTCCAGCAACCCCAACCCGCAGGGATACTGGAAGGGAGGGGTCCAGCTCGTGGCCTTGAACCAGCAGACTCCGGGCGCCATGCTGGACCTTCATCGGGGCCGCTTCACCCAGAACGGGGGGAGCGGCTACGTCCTCCGGCCCGCCGTGATGAGGGACGAGGTGTCGTACTTCAGCGCCCACACACACGGCTGCGTCCCAGGAGTCCCGCCTCAGACGCTGCGCATTAAGGTCCAGAAGCTGCTCTGTTGTTTTAAATTTAACACTCAACAATTAACAACAAAAACTTCAGTATCATATACTTAAATGGGCAGTGTTATGTAAATTATAAAACATCAAAAGCATGCCTGGAGTGTTGTCTTGATTCTTTCATGGCTGTTTGAGAAATCCTTTAATCTCTCGTGGCAACCATTCAGCTGCCACCTTTGGGACGAAGCTCCTCTTCAGAGTTCCTTTCGCTCAGCTCCTTCAGACTAGCCAGAAGCAATTAGCAAAAACCTGGTGAAACCGCCCTTCCAGAAGCTACTTCTCAGAGCATCGCTGGTAAAAACGTTGTGAAAGGGTTCATAGAGGGGCCATGTTGTGATGACTTCCTGAAGGTGGAGTTTCAGAAAGAGCAGGAGCTTCTTAAAGAGACAGAGGCCCAATTTCAAGAGGTTGAGTTAAATTTATTTGATCTTTTGATCTTTGTAACAATTTTGCGTAACATAGGCACTTGGCTGTGCTGTAAAATGGCACTATGTCACCAAATCCTGTGTTGCATCACTATCACCGTCACATGACCGAAACTCATACCACACAACCAACAATGATGAATATTTGCTGTTAATATCAGCACATTTCTACTTATCTGACTGATAAAATAGGTTAAACAATGACTGAAATAACATCGGCTGATGCTGATGTAGGTGATACAGTGAGCCTGCCCTTTGACCCTGCTAAGCCCCTAGGATATAAAGGCTGTCTTCAGAGATTTTTTTTTCTGATGAACTTAACATGAGTTGCTCTGTGTTTTGTTGAGCAGGTGATCAGTGCCCACAACCTGCCCAAGCCTCAGGGGTCAGGGGCCAAGGGTGAGGTCATTGACCCGTACGTTGTGCTGGAGCTGCACGGCGTCCCGGCCGACTGTGCCGAGCAGCGGACGCGCACCGCCGCTCAGAACCAGGACGAGCCCATGTTTGACGAGACCTTTGAGTTCCAGGTAAGCCGAAGACATTAATAAATAAATATCTGACCTCATTATTATGACATTTAGCTAATATAAATAATTCTGGTGATTCCAACTATCCTGAATCGAGAGTTTGGTCTGATTTAACTTCACACAGGAAAAAAAAAAAAAATCTGTTGTATCTAAACTTCCTGTTTAAACTGTAAATGATGAAGTTTTGCAAGATTTCACTAAACTGAGGTTGGAGCATTTCCAAAACTTGTCACACGCCTGTGCTGGAGCTTCATAAACTCGATGGGGGCCAGATATTGGTCATTGGTGCTCATTTGCTCATAAAGCTCTTAAAGCAAATGCAGAAAAAAAACCAGCTCGAATTTTAAATCTTCTTATATAAATGCATGGCAGCTCTTTATGATAATCCTGCTTAGACTGCTTAATGTTACTTAGACTTTCCACCAAAGGCTCTTTGTTGGTGTTTGAGAAACGTTTATCAGCTCCGTGCGACTAAAAGAAGGATTCTGAAGTGTGCTGTGATTGACGTTATTATCAGAAATCTTCAGCTGTTTAAACTCGGCGGTACAGACATTGTGTGTCTAACAGGACTCGCCTCTTTAAGATGAAAGATGAACTGAAGTGCGAACACAGAGGTCTGTGTGGATTTGGAGAGGTTCCTGTCTGCTCTGCACCTGCAGGAGAACAAAACCCTGAGTGGTTAATGGAACGGGGTGGGCGGGCGGCGGGGTTAGGACCATCAAGATCCAAATGAAGTGCTCCTGTGAAAACACTGCTGTATAACGGATGACGTTTGATGACTTGCTGATTGAGCCTTTTTGCCCCTCACTGACAGAGTCCTGCGTGATTGTAGCGGAGCCATAATGACGAGCAGTCGCAAATCATATGCGCTTGGCGTTGCCACTGCGTGTGTGTGTGTGTGTGTGTTGCTTCCTGCAGACATAATGTACCTCCACAAAGACTGAAAAAGATTGGAATAATACCTGTAATCAGTAGGCAGTAATTGCAGTGACTGTTTGGCAGTAGACAGGCTTTAAATAAGATTTGAATGGACGGTTTGTCTGTCTGAGACGGCAGCGTGTGTGTGTGTGTGTGTGTGCCTGTGCATTAGTGAATCACTCATATAAAGCTCCGTCTGAGTGTGCTGCTCAGTATAAGTCCACTCGGTTTTGTTCAGATACTTTATTTTCATGACCTATATAGGGGTTTTTATTTTGTCCTTTTCATCGCCTCCCAGACTCTTGGTAGTCTTATTTTTCCTCTGTGGTGTTCAGCGTAGTCGGCATGTTAAGGTCTGTTCGCCATTCTGTGACTGACTCTCACTTCATACGAACAAAAACAAGTTTTATTAAGAGAAAATATCTTGTTTTTACCTCATGTTATTGTGTACCTGCCTTTCATTTCAGTGTGACAGAGAGATCCGCTGCCTCAGGTAAATGATGCCGCAGCGTCGCCTCTCTGCACATCTGATACCGTAGCAACTGGGTCACCAACTAAACCAGGCTTCTGACCGGCAGACAGTGGAGAGTAATTCCCTCATTATTCTGGATGTGGCTCTTAATGGTGCAGTGTTATGTGAAATTGACGTTTTATAATATTATTCTGTGATCAAGAACATACATGGAGTGTTGCTTTAAATCTTTTGTGTGTTCCTTTAATTTCCATGGCAACCATTCAGCTGTGCAAAACGCCTGCGTGGACCTAGCCCCGCCTTCAAGGACGTATCTCCTTCTCAGAGCTGCAGTTTCTAAGCTTCCGCTTCACAGAGCATCTCCCCCACTCAGCTCCTTCAGACTAGCCAGCAGTAATTAGCAAACACCTGGTGGAACTGCGTATCTACTGAGATCATTATAGGAGCTACTTCTCAGTGCAATGCTGGTAAAAACGTTGTTAAAGGGTTAATAGAGGAGCCATGTTGTGATGACTTCCTGAAGGTGGAGTTTCAGAAAGAGCAGGAGTTTTTAAAGAGACAGTGACCCAGTTTCCATACGTTAAAATACAAAGTCAAATTTCTTTTAAGTCATATTTGAAATATATAGCATTTTTATAACAACTAAGGGCAACATAGTTACTTGATTGTGCTATAAAATGGTACCATGTGACTGGTAAACAGGCAGAGCTCAGATTTTCACAGATTACCTGTCTCATACCAGACTGTCATTACATAGTGACAGTTTCAACAAACATATAAAGAATATTTTTCATTAAGGTGAGACACTGCAGCTTTTAGGCTTCTGCATTTTCATTATAAACAACACATAACTCATTTAAATTTTTCTTGAGCATCATTTTGTTTGTACAAACTGTATTTTGTGACTCGGTTGTGTCTGTCTGTGGCTGCAGGAACCTCAGTCTGTCAGGTAATCAGTAACATCGTTGAAAAGTTCTTGGCAACAACAAAAAAACCAGGTGTGTAAGTCAGCCTGACTCATTAGACGTAGAATCTATAACCCAGGGCTTAGTGGGACTACAGTGTGTCAGACACTACACACACATGCACGCACGCACACACACGCACACACACACACACACACACACACACACACACACACACACACACACACACACACGCACACACAGCCCCATCAGACACCCAGAATTACAGAGCATACACAGCATCTCCCAGTCAGACACACAGCACAGGTGAGGAGATACTGTTTGTGTGCGTGCGTGTATGTGTGTGTGTGTTTGTGTGTGCATGTATGTGTGAGTGTGTGTCTTAATCATTTCACCCCGAGGCTCTGCCACAGGGGCCAAACTCAGACACAAGCTGAGGATGAACTCAGATCCAGGGCTTTGAAAGGAAACCGCTGCCTCAGCTGTCGCACTCATGGAGGTGGTGTGTGTGTGTGTGTGTGTGTCTTAGAGGTATGTGTGTGTTAGGGGGTGTGACGTGTGTTGTGTTGCACTTTCTGCTTTTAGAGAATGTGAAAGTTGGGAACCTAAGAAAACCGGACTCCTCATTGTGTTATTGTCTTGGTTACAGTACATTACCGCCCCCTACAGGTGGAGGCTAGAAGTACAGTTGCCCATTGAGCCACCGCCTCAGTTTGTTGAAATTAGTGGACAATGTCGACATGTATAGTTTGAATATTTTGATTTATGTATTTACTCATTTATGTTTTTATGAAATTTTATATTTTTGTCTTGATTGAAAAAGATGACTGGATTCTATGAACTTAATATGATTTATTAAAGGGAGCAGGGGTCTTTTATGGGGCGTGAGGGCTACAGCACCACTGGCTACCCCCAATGAACACCACTGTTTATTACATATTTGTTAAAACTGTCAGCATATCATGACAATTATCTAATCCATTATTCAATTTCCTTCTGGGGTCAATAAAGTATTTTTGAATTTGAATTGGACTGTGTAAAATGAGACATAATCTGTGTAAAAAAAAAAAAAAAAAAAAAAAAAAACCCCCCCCCCCCCCCCCCTGAAAAACTATTTGCCATCTGTAAAAATACACCAGTCAGTTAAAAACAACCAATCAGAGCCAGGAGGAGGGGCTTAGTGCTGTCAATCAACCTCATGAAGACAATGTTAAATGTTTTAATGGCGTAGAAACAATTTACTGGTCTAGGAAAACTGTTTATCCATTCATTGGTTACCATGCTGACTAGTCTTTTTTTGCTGATTATATGTATTATATTATACTGTCAAAAGAAGGACAGAAGGAGGCTGCAGTTTGCTTTTACTATGACTGCACTTGTTTGTTACACTCCCTGCACTGCAGATTATATGTTTGTAGGAAAACCAGCATAATAAGTCATTTCAAAACATCATGATGGGAGATAGTGAGATAAACTAAATCAGACCTTTGTAGTCAGGCAGCTAGGCTGAGGTGTTCTTCATAAAAAGTTAGAGAAAAGAGAAAAACATCCTGCGTCCGTAGAGCCAGGAGCTCCACGTCTTTTCTTCTCACTCGGTCCCTAATTTGGAAGTCGGCATTGCTTCATCTAAACTGATGTAGCATGAGAAGGACGTGGCAAGCAGAGTGAAACAAACTGGCTGCTTTCACGGTTTTAGAAACGTCTGCTGACAAGCGAAATCATATTAGATTTATTTCAGTTCTCCACAGTCAGTTTCAAAAACCGAGAGCTGCGTAAAACCTCATATTTCCCCAAAGTGTGAATGACATCTGAAGCAAGATGAGATCTGAAAACAAACGTCTGGAGCGGTCCGCACAGAGGGAGAGTTGCTTTCTCCAAACCTGTGAAGCCTGCAGCAGGTTTGTGTTGTTTTACGAGCCTTTTGGGAGACGTTCAGGTGCCTTAAGTTAAATTTTGACATATCACTCTGTATAGTTGCATGTTAAGCGTTTAGATCACATAATGTAGGGTAAATTATGTAAAATGTTGATAGCTGGTGGTGTGAATGTTGATATGGGTGTTACGATTTTATTTAAAAACCTTGAGAGATCTCTTCGTTTCATAGGGAGCTAAAGAAATTCAATTGTCATTGAAAGAAGAGAAAGAAAACCTTGTTTTGATGAATTTATCGAGGGATAAAAAGCCTAACAGTGTTTATAAATCTTTATGCTTTGGTCAATTTTTATTTTTTTATATACCAGTGGAAACGGTGAACTTTCTCAGAGGTCGCCACAGTATGCCAAATACTTATCGTTAATTCTGCTTGAATATTTATGCTTATCATTAAAGCTGCATTATGTAACATTTATAATTGTTTAAGTATTTGTTTAAACTGTCACCATGTCGTGCCAGTGTAACATGAGACGGATCATTTGCGTTTAGTGAGGATGACCTCGTCTGACTTAACTCGGCAGTTTTACATTTGCAGATTCATTTTAATTTGTGAGAGTTCGCGATAATGTAGGCATCTTAATAAATTCAGAACAGAAGGCGCTGCTGCAGAATGCTGCGGCGGATTGTAATCACTGACTAATCAACCACTCATTTCATATTTTGTCGACCAAATTAGCATTACCTGCAGCTGTGGAATGTAATAAACGGTGCACACCTGCTTTATGTTTCAAATTAAAGTTGATAATAATTTA